CCCTCTCCGCGGCCGCGTCCACTCTTCGCCCCAACTACTCTGATTGTTGGAGATTCCATCGTGAGACACGTCCGCTTTTTTAACGCGGTCACTCACTGCATTACCGGAGCTACTGTCCCAGATCTGCTCATCCGTCTCCCTCCTCTGCTTCACTCCCTGCCCGATACCATATCCAAGGTAATCGTGCATGTGGGGATCAACGACATGAAGCTGCAGCAGTCCGAGGTCACAAAGAAGCACTTTATGGATCTGTTCCGCCTTCTCCAGTCCTCAGGGTTATCCGTTTTTATTTCTGGTCCAGGCCCGACTGTAAACCGGGGTGACTGCCTCTACAGTCGCGTTGTGGCGCTCAACATGTGGCTCCAGTCTACATGCAGCACTTTTAACTTTATTTTTGTGAACAACTTTGGCCTGTTCTGGAAGCGTCACGTGGCCTATCGTCCAGATGGTCTGCACCCAAACAAATACGGCACCAGTTTGTTGACGGACTTCCTACGCCATGTTGTTCAGTGCTCCCCGAGGGGGGCGTGACTGTTTACATCCGAGGCCCCTCGGCCCCCACTACCCCCCTCCTCCTCCTCCTTACCAGCACCGGGTGAGTACTGTGGTGCAAACACTGACCCCTGTCCGTCTGGCAGTGTAACGACAGTCCTGCCACTGAACTGTGCTGACTCAGTTATGCATCTGGAACTTAACAAAGTACAACAGAGTTCACTTTTTAAACCAATAGAGACTGTGTGTGTTCCTCGCACCAGCTCAGAAATGTGTTTTAACTTGAATAAACACAAATTTAAAAGAAGGACAGCAGTTAGACGGTCCAACTCTGGAAATCTAATTCCAGTTCTTTGTAATCAATCAACTAAACCCACTGACACTGATATTAATTTTAACCTTGCTCTACTTAATGTCAGATCACTATGCAACAAATCATTTTTAATTAATAATTTTATCTGTTCGTATGATCTTGATTTTATGTTTATGACTGAAACATGGCTTGACCATAATACAGGAGATGCAGTTTTAATAGAAGCCTCACCACCAAATTTCAAATTTGAATATGAAACACGAGAAAATAAAAGGGGGGGGGGGCATAGCAGCAGTTTTTAAAGATCGTATTGTCTCCCATAGAGTGTCTCTTGGGAAATTTTCATCATTTGAGTATGTTTCTTTTAAAATAGAACAAAAGAAATCTTCTTCCATTCTTATTATTGTTGTGTACAAGCCGCCACAGTCATGCCATAGTTTCACTGATCATTTCACTGAGTTGCTTTCAGTTGTGTGCACAGATTTTGATGGTTTAGTCATTATAGGCGATTTTAATATTCATGTGGATAATGTTAATGACAGATACGCAAAAGAGCTGAGTTCCATACTTGAATCCTTTGGCCTCACTCAGCATGTGAGTGGCCCCACCCATAGCAGAGGACACACCCTGGACCTGCTTATCACGAAAGGGGTGAATATTTCAAAAGTTAATGTAGTTGATGTTGCTCTGTCGGATCATTTCTGTGTATTTTTTAACATGTATTTTGCTACCAGACCACCCGCTAAATATGAAATTGTTAGAAGTAGACACTTAAATGAAAACACGGGTGAACTATTTATGGGAATGATCCATTTTGAGAACACATCATGTTCTACTGTAGATGAACTGTTTAACTCTGTCACCTCTAGTGTGTTGAATGTTCTGGACGCCATTGCCCCTGTGAAGGTAAAAATGGTCACAAATAAGCAAAAAGCCCCATGGATAAAAGCAGGCCCGGTCAGGGCACAGAAGCAAGAGTGCCGGAGAGCAGAGAGAAAGTGGAGAAAGTCCAACCTCCAGGGTGATTATAAACTCTTAAAAGAGAAGTTGTGTGAGTTTAACAGAGTACTACGTAGAACAAGAGAATTATACTTTTCTGAAACTATTGAAGGCTGCAGCAATAATCTGCGTGTTCTATTTTCAACAATCAATAGATTAACGAACCCCCCTGTTGAGTTGCCATTAGAACACTACTCCAAATCCAGGTGTAATGAGTTTGCACAGTTCTTCAGAGACAAGGTTCAGGGTATCAGAAATACCATCACCTCTACAACACAAGTAACAATGCAACATCCAGTGAGGCTTTGTGAGCTAGCTCAATTTGCACCTGTCAATGATGAAACTGTTAAAAAGATAATCACAGGTCTTAGTTCCTCTACCTGCAGTCTGGATGTACTACCTCCTAGATTTCTGAAGTCTGTTATGTGTAGTCTATTACCCTCATTGACACAAATAGTAAACATGTCTTTTTTATCTGGAACATTTCCAATGGCCCTGAAAAAGGCAGTCATCAGGCCCCTCCTAAAACAGAGCAGTTTGGATGCTGCGGTACTTGAAAATTACCGTCCCATCTCAAATCTGCCATTCATGGGAAAAATTCTTGAAAAAGTTGCCTACCAACAACTTACTGAATTTTTAATATCTAATGACTCATTTGACATGTTTCAGTCTGGCTTTAGACCACACCACAGCACTGAGACCGCTCTAGTCAAGGTAACAAATGATATTCGGCTTAACACTGATGCAGGAAAAGTCTCTGTTTTAGTCATGTTAGATCTGAGTGCCGCTTTCGACACCGTTGACCATGAGATTCTCATGCAGAGACTGGAGGACTGGGTTGGTGTTGCTGGTACTGCCCTAAGCTGGTTTAGGTACTATCTAGAAGAAAGGAAGTATTGTGTGGAGATTGGAGACTATGTCTCAGATAATATGGCCCTGACCTGCGGAGTGCCACAGGGGTCGATTCTGGGACCTCTCCTGTTCAATATTTACATGCTGCCATTAGGTCAGTTAATTCAAAGTATGAAAGTGTCCTACCACAATTACGCTGATGACACTCAGATCTATGTCTCACTGACTGCAGGAGAGCATGGACCGGTGGACTCACTCCTTCGCTGTATCCAGCGGATCAGTGAGTGGATGCAATGCAATTTTCTCCAGCTAAATGCGGACAAAACCGAAATGATTGTCTTTGGTCCCGAGAAACAAAGAGAGACCGTCATTTGTCACTCATTTCAGTCTCTCTCCCTAAGGCCTTTAAATAAGGTCAGAAATCTGGGAGTAATAATGGACTCTGACTTAAACTTCAATAGCCACATTGGATCGGTAACATCAGCAGCTTTTTATCATCTGAAAAATATTGCCAAAATTAAAAATATTGTGTCCAGGGCAGACTTGGAGATTCTTATCCATTCTTTTGTTTCCAGTAGGCTGGATTACTGCAATGGCCTGCTCACAGGTATCTCCAAACATGCAGTAAAACAGCTGCAGTATATTCAAAATGCTGCAGCCCGAGTCCTGACTAGAACCAGGAAGTACGACCACATTAGTCCGGTCCTCAGGTCTCTGCACTGGCTTCCCGTGGCCCAGAGGATAGACTTTAAAGCAGCTCTCCTGGTGTACAAGTCTCTCCATGGCCTTGCACCAAAGTACATCCATGATATGCTAGTCCCATATGAACCAGCCCGGACTCTGAGGAGCGCAGGGACGGGACTCCTGTTAGTGCCCAGAGTCAGGACTAGACAGGGGGAGGCTGCTTTTCAGATTTATGCAGCTAAAGTCTGGAACAGTCTTCCTGAGGATGTGAGACTGGCTGCCTCTCTGTCAATGTTCAAATCCATGTTAAAGACTTTTCTTTTTTCCTGTGCATACAACTAGAGAATTTTATCTTTTTAACACACCTTGTTATTTATTGTTGTAACTTTTTGTGTTTTTAACTATTTTATTGTTTTTAATTACTTGTGTGATTCTTGATGTGCATTGTGTGGTGTGGACTGTGAGGCGCTTTGTGTTGCCCTGTGCAGGAAAAGCGCCCTATAAATAAAGATTGATTGATTGATTGATTTATATTGTCAAAGTTTTGAAAATTGCTGGATTTTGTTTTGTGTAAATACAAAGATTTTTTGTAATTTTGGTGGCAGTGTAGCTGTCAGTGAACATTTTTTGTTTACATGTATATTTGTATTATCTTTATAATCTGTTTATAATAGTGTATTTATTGTGTGTCGCTTCTGACCCCTTGTGGTGGAGTTGTGATATTGTATTACCTGTGCAATATGCGCATGCGCGCATTGGATTGGCCATTACGTGAGAGACAGAGCGAGAGAATGGCGAAGAGGATGGACAAGGTAACCTCGTGCTGAGCAGAAAGTAAGGATATGAACAGCAAAAACTACTAACAACTCCAGAGAGTCTAGATAGAAGGCGCACACGGTAATTGTATATTGTTTTATCGTAAGTTTGTTGAATATGTGTGTATTTTGCTAATTGTATGTTTTTTATGCACCGTAGTTTTTCACGGTGCTTTAGTTGGCTTTGTTGTAAATAAATGTCAACTAAACATCAGTCAGAGCGTCAGCCTTTTATCCAAGCAATAATTTCTGGAGCCGTTATACTGTTCCTCATTAACTAATGCTTATCTAAGTATATGCAAAGCCAGTTCACATGAACAACTCATTTACTAATAATTAGTTACACTTTTTCCAAACAGTATTATAAAGTGGTGACTTATCCTCATTAACTTATATTTATCTAATTATATGTAAATTCAATTCACAATAACAACTCATGTACTAATAATTAGTTACTATTTTTCCAAACAGTGTTATAAAGTGGTGACTGTTCCTCGTTAACTTATGTTTATCTAATTATATGTAAATCCAATTCACATTAACAACCTATTTACTAATGTTTACGATTCATTAGTTACTCTTTTTCCAAACAGTATTATAAAGTGGGGACTGTTCCTCATTAACTAATGCTTATCTAGGTATATGCAATGCTAGTTCACAACTCATTTACAACTATTTCATATTCATTTACAAATGCTTACAGCAAACAACAATGAATAACTTCAACTGAAACAGTGGCAAACCAATAAAAAATTTATGATATCATTGCATTAGCTTACACAGTGTGTCTTTTACGTATTTAGACATTTATATGTCCTGTCTTGTGTGTGACTCTCCCACCCCAGACGCCCTGTGGACCCCCGGGGGACTGTAGAGAGATCCGGCTCAGGGCACATTGCTGGTCCCAGCGCACCCCCACAGGCCTGGACTGCATGGGCTGGAGGAGGCAGCTCTCCTACTCAAGTGAGTCAATTTCAGTTTGACATTCAGAACATTTACAGTGGTCCACTCAGACTGGGGGTAGAGAGCACCTGGAGAACAAATGTATGATTATGAGCATACTCATGCTCATAATTATATACTTGTATTGGATGTTTTATTGTTGTTATTGTTGTTGGGTTAACATAACAAGTGTGTGTATATGTCAGATGAGCGTTTTCTTAGAATGTATTTCTTGTATGTGCGGGATCTGTCATAGCTGGAGTTGCTGTATTTGCTTTCACAGCCGTCTCCACACTCAGTGAGAGTCTATTGTGGCTGAGTACATCTGATGTGCTGAGTAAGCCTGGTGCAGCAGAGGGCGCTGTCTGCACACTCTTGACTAGTGTTGTTTCCATAGTTACATTTGTATAAAGATGCAATACTCTTTTTGCTTTTCTGATTTTTTTATGAAGTGGTCTGATACCCTGATCTCTGATAGAGATGTCGTTGTTTTTTCCCAGTTTGGTTTAAGTAAGTAAGTAATGTTTATTTATATAGCGCATTTTACAGACCAAGGTCACCCTAAGTGCTTTACATGTTCAGAGTTCAGATATTGTTCCAATCATTCCACACAAAAAACATTTCAAACATTTCAACATTTCTCAATAAAGCAAGACTAAATTTTTAACCATGAGAAGACTCGCCTCCACAAAAATAACTTGTGGTCTGATCCGGAAGCAGGACTCTCTGCAGTTACACATGCATTTAATGTGGCTGTGTTTCTGTGATTTCATTCAGCATTGTTTCCCTTAATCTCCCTGATCCTGATCTTAACCCTCACCCGGACCCTCAAAAATAAAATGAATATTGGCATGCTTTAAACACAGCAATCATGTCATCAGTGCAGTTTAATATGTATTATAGAATATCTACTGTATAGTTACTCATAGTAACTGTGCTAATGGCATACATTAGCATGTATCTGAAAATGCAGCACAAATATATATTTAAGTTCCTTTGAAAAGCTCTACATAAAAATTATTATTAATATCAAAACATGGCTGTGGTCAGACGTGTGTGTATGCAAAGGAGGGACCGTTTAAAGAGGGAGGAGGGGGAGGGGTTGTGTCTCTTCTCCCTGCGCAGCCTCTGCCTCTGCTCAGTCTGCTGGTGCTGCTGCTGTTGTCACACCAGCGCCCCTGACGGACCCCCACCTCAGCCTGAGGCAGGGACCAGAGCACAGTACAGCCCGTCCACACGGAGTCGAGCACCTGCCGACCTGCTCTTGTGTGGTGGCCGCAATGCGCACTCAACAACTGGGCTCCCATGGGGCAGTGCCGTTACCGGTGAGCAGCATAGGGAGCAGTGGGTCCTCTCTGGGCCTTTCCCCTGGCTCTGACTCAGATGGCAGCAGCCCCACAGGCAGCATGGGCACTGGGACAGGACTAGGGGTGGGGGGTGGTCAGGGAGGCGGAGGTACTCTACGGGGACTGCTGTCCCACTACTGGAGCCTGGAGAGTCTGCACTCCACCACAGGTAAGATACGGCCATGGTGAAGCTGTAGAGATGTACTATGTACTACTGTGGTTAAAGCTGCTATGTAAGTTTCCTGCTTGCAATTCTCAGTCTCATCTCTCTTGTAATTCCTTTATTGTCTAAAATACAAGGCCTTGTTTCCATGGAGATTGCCAAGTTGTGTGCCATTTCCAGGAAAATCCCTAACATCTTACTTATAAAGGAGACTTTCTTCTGGGTTTCAGCAGTAAACTACACCACGCAATAATTTACAATTTTTCCCAAAAAATAATATGTTTTTGTTCATCAAGTTTTGCTGTATACACACGTATACTCACACACAGGCACACACTCACACACACACTAACAGAATTCACTGACCTTTTTCAAGACTTTATTTCTTCTTTCTTGCAATGTGATGACAAAAAATACCTATATTTATGCAAGCTACACTCTGTATGTCTTCGACCACTGACATATCTTTGTGAACAGCAGAGTTTAGGACGTCATGGACTGTTGGATTTCATGTTTTATCTGTTCTCCAGACACAGAGGGCCAACACCAGACCTGATGGAGCCTATACTGATAGTGGACTCACTGAATATGTCTGCTTTTCCCAGGAGATACTAGATAGTAATCCTAACATCAACGCTTTTCCATCCAAATAGTGGCACTGAAGTTATGGCTTGTGCCACATTTTAGTAAAATCCTTTGTATTTTGTGAATATTTGTTGTAATAAGAGTATTCGTCATAACCAGCAACTTCAGTCCCATGTATGTTGCACGATGTCGCAATGGTTAGCACTTGTCTGTCACAGCAAAAGGGTTCTGGTGGGATCGATTCCACCTCCTGAAAGAGTCTTTCTGTGAGGAGTTTGCATGTTCTCCCCTTGTGTGCCTAGGTTTCCTCTGGGTTCTCTAAATTCCCTTACCACTAAAAATATGTACAATAGGTCCGGCAAGCGCCTTCTGTATGCAACCCGCTTCCATCTATATGTGGAGTGAGAGAAAAAATGCCCACAACAATTGTAAAGTGCTTTTTGACTCTGGTCTGTGAAAGGCTCTATATAAATACCTGACCTGCACAAAGCCCATATATAAGGCTTCACCTCAGAGCCAAACAAACAAAACATTTGAAACTCTGTGGATAGGGATGCACCGATAACCCTTTTTTTAAACCGATACGAGTTTGAGTACCTTCATTTGAGTACTTGCCGCTACCGAATACCGATACGAGTACTGCATTGTGTTATCTCTGGGAATTCATAAAACTAATACAACTGAAAATTAAAATTTTTGATTTCTCATTTCAACAATAAAAGAATACTTTTACAATTAAACATTTTAGAAACAGTTTTAACAGTCAACAATAAGAGCCTCTGTCATATTCCACTCATACAAATGGTACAAATAAATAGCTCCGGTGCTAGTAAAGGTGTTATTCTCCATGTGGTGGTCAGTTTCAGATGTTTGATCAAGTTGCTGGTGTTATACGTGTTTGTTTTGGACCCACCTCGTGGCAGTTTTGCCTTACTCTTGTCACTCTTTTTTACTTTAAAAAACTGCCATACGGCCGACATCCTTTTCGCTAAGCTAGTGGACAGGTCGTACATGTAGGGAAATAATAATTGACTGGAGATTACAAAAGGCTAAGGCCAGGCTAATTTGACAGGGACTTTGCACAATAAATGTATTGTTCAGACCGGATAAAGGTACAAGCTAATTTTCATTCGTAGTCCCTGCGCAGAGGCAAAGTGACAGCAGGTAAACAGTGTGGAAAGAATTAATAAATAGAATGGTCTAGTTAGCATTTAAAATATAGGTAAATACCTCTAACCAGAAAGTGACACACTATACTGCAATGGTGTAGGTTTGGTTCCAATCTTGGTGGGGACATTCACTACAACCCTTCTATACTAAACTCAGCTGTAGACTGAATGAGGAGCAGTTAAGGATTTTTTCTAATAGTTAAAACAAAATCAATTGGATCAGAGCTTCTGAGTTTTGTGTTGCGTTCATTCTAACTTTGTCCACAAGATGGCTTAAATGTTTATAGTAAATAAGATAGTAAATATATCCTGTATTCAGGATCAGGCTGATATGGTTTACAACCTATCTCAAATATGCTGTCCCTGGCACTTTCTTGAGAGTGACTCTCATTGGCTGCCTCCTAAATAGCAAATACACTGTTATGAAACATTAAAAAATCCCATATTTTATCTTCATAATTCCAGCATCACCTGAAGCCCAGCTTCGATATCTGCCTGCACTACATCTTCCCTGAATACCTGAGTTCCCTATAATAAATAAAACACATGTAGTACATTAAACAAATCAGATCTAAGCATATACAAAATAAAACCACCAACAAAACCAAATAAATACTTTCAACCTCACCTGAAGCCCTGAAGGTCCAGCCACTTCCTCATCCTCTACCAGCACTGCACATTCCCTGTTTGTCTGACTTTCCTTTATGGTATTAATAAAAACACACATTCTACATTGAATAAAATGAAACCTAGGCATGGTACACCAGTCGCTAAATATCTCATGAAACTAGAATTGGTTGATGGGTCTAAGATTTTAACTGCTTAACCCTGACCTCACCTGGAGTCCTGTCTTGTCCTTGTCTTTATCTCCTTCTTGAATTTCCATTATATCTCTCAGAGTGTCCTATATTTAGTAAAAGATTTCAGACAACACTTTTTTCATCATTATAGTTTGTTTGAGTTTGAGTTGGCATAGGTAATTTCCAACCAAATGATGTTCTTTAACTTTAGTATGATTCTATACTGACTTAAACCTAATCCAAATCTACATAATAGCCCTCACCTGAGGCTCTAACAGTTCAGGAACTGCTCTCGATACTTGAAATAAATCATGCTCTGATCTTTCAATTGCCTATAATAAATAAAAACAGAGGAGAAAATATTGAATTAGAATCTACAGTGAGTAGCTCACTACATTGTTTGACATATATGATCAATCTCTAAAAACAATTCATAGTCCCATGCATACCTACAAAATTCCAACCTCGCCTGATGCACTGAAGGGCCTGTTGCTTCTACCTCAACATTCCCTATATTGTTCTCTCTTGTTGGTTGAGTTTCCTATGTATGTTAACAGAAGATTAATCATCACAATTCATAATTTGCTATTACTTGTGCTTTCTCTTACTTACTTTCCAACTGTTAAAAAAGCTCTTGATATCTTTTATCTTTTTTTGTGGAGGTGGCATTTTTTCTAAATTATATAAGAAGGTATAGACAATCAAAAACAGACATTCATATACATGAACTGCAGAATCATGTATATAACTTGGCCAATGTCAAAAGTTACATAGTATTTCTCAATACAATGAGTTAACAAGAGTTTGGCAATAAGTAACAGTGTGGATTTTTCTATATTTTCTTTTTTTTATTCCACTCTCAACCCAAAAAGGCAAGTAATGACTCACAGGGCTCTCAAGTATGCAAAGTAAAAACTTAAATGACCTGTTGTGGTGTGTTTTGCGCACAACCAGCATGCATCGTTAACGCAATGGAAAATTTAGGTATCCAAGCTTTAATTTCGGGAGCGCTGGTTGCGCTTTGGGAAGAGTCAGGGGAGAGACATGTCAGAGACACAGGGGAGAAACGGGGGAGATACGAGGGAGACCCGCACTTGCAACATGGTTCTGTCTGCATATGGTCCGAGCTCGGTACCATGTTAGAGCTGTGCTTTCACTGAGCGCCGCGGCTGTCATTACAAAGCGGCAGCAGCTGCACCAGGACGTGCACATTCGAGTGCATCGCTTGAATGTGCTTATAGCAAATAACAGCAAGTGCCCGCTGTCACACATTTCACAGAAATTACATTATCAGCAGATAAAGGTTGTAAATCGTGGATCCGTGGAATATTTTCATCCCTAGTTTATCCTAATTCACACAACACACCCACTTATACATTTTGGATAGTAAGAGCACAATAAGTATTTTTTCAGCCTTTCAATCAACCTGTTTCTTTATTGGAGCCAGTTCTGTTCTGTCTCTGTGCCGTGTGAGCTCCTCGGGACATTAAACAGTGCACTGACAGATTAGAAATAACGTAAGTACTTTGAATGGTAATAGATCTACAGTACTTTCCTCTGATTACTCACGTGCTACAACGCTCAGGGAACGAAAAAAAACACTTGCTTCACGCTGGCTAACTTTTAAAAATTAAACAGTCGCTCAGTGCTTGGCGCTGAAGAAGACAGCCAATCACTGCAGAGAACGGAACGGGTCACGTGCTGCTGCTGCTGCTGCTCTGGAGGCGAGGAGGAGGCGCGACGTGTGCACAAACGGAAGACATGTGTCCCGGACCGTCCGGGTCACGGGACATCATGTCATTTTGGTGGGGACTTTTTAGTCCTCACCAAATATTGGTGGGGACATGTCCCCTTGGTCCCCACGCAAACCTACGCCCTTGCTATACTGTATACAATATAGACAACACCCAATCATATACATCTGATTAATGACTGCAGACTTGATTATGTTTTAGCCAGTTCTTTCGGCTGGGTTGAAACTGTCCCGGTGAGCTACACTCCCGCACTGACAGAGGTAGTGAGTTCCAGGCAACTGCTGCTTTGACAAAGAAACAGTTCTGACCAAATGAGGAGGACCTAAATTTCACATAACAGTCTCCTCCGGATGTGGATCTGACTCTCACCCCCACACACCTTTTCACAAATATATTTAGTGGTAGGGGTGCCAGATATTGGAAAATTTTATACAAAATACAAATATTTGCAAACCTGGATGACAGTCTCAGAGGTTAATAATTTGTATTTCTCAGCAATTTTGCACTAATGATGTGACCTTGTAGTTTTATCTAAAATCTTTAGGGCTTGTTTGTATAAGCTCAGAAAATGTTGCATTGCTGAATCTGTAGCCAATGACCAGGTTGTGCAACTGTAATGCAAACAACTTTAATCATTGAAAGCATAAAAAGCTTTGCTGAATTTGTACTAATCTGGGGACTAACTACCCTAATTTGTGACAAACTAAATTTTATGCAT